ATTCCTTTAATATTTTCGAAATTAACTCTTACATTTTCAAGAATAACTTGGGGGCAATTGTTAGGGCCAGGATCCTCAGACCTCTTCAAATATTCAGGATTCTCAACTATCTCAGGATCCCGACTGTTATTGTTATTATTATTAACTAATATTTATAACGGTTATATTTGGTACATAACTGACATGTGTGTAGAAATAGTCAAAAGGAGACTTATTCTCAATAGAGTTTCGTTTAAACTATGCTAAAGACCCGGAATACCAAGTCAAAAAATCATTCACAAAGCTGGTCATAAAGGATCCCGGGAATATCGGACATCTTGCTAGCTAGTTTAGACTATAAATTGACACATGGATCTCGCACACGACACACTCTGCTTACTCTTAACTTACTCTACGAACTTTTTCACTTGTTCTTATTGGAATACTCTCTATAATCATCATTTTACATTAATAAAATCATCAAGGCAGGTGATCATTATCACCTCCCAAGGTTTTGTGTCGGAGATCCTAGGAAGGATCAAGGGCTTTCCTTGTAAACCATTGTGTCATTCTCTTTATCTTTTTCTACTGCACAACTCTAATATCACAACCTCTCATTCAATTTGGTTGATCAATACTTGTGTAATTTTTGACCAAAACAGTTATTTTATTACAAATATGACCACTTTGTTTTTTTTTCTAAATCAAACGTTTTAATTTAATTTAATTAGATACTTGATAATGTTTAAAAAAAAATTGTTATTAAATTGTAATATTTATTTATTGTTATCTATCATACACTGAAAAATATTGTTATGTATATTGATTTAGGTTTGAGTTTGATTTACGGATTTTTGTTTTGATGAAATTTTGAATTCTTCGGTTTCTTATTCATTTTCATCGTATTCAACTACACTTAAATGTGTTGAAGATACTCGTCACTGACGTTTATATTAGTATTTAATCTCTTAAAATGGTCTTCATTACCAAGATGAGATCTTTCTTTGATTCTAATGGAGTGCATATCCGACATTTTTTTTAATAAAATTCATAATTTTTCTTCTACCATCTTCCTATACAATTAAAATTGCGATACTTGTCATATTTAATAAAATTAATAATTTTTTATTACACTTGTCATCATCTAAAAATGGTAGGAGGATAGATAGAAAGATTAAATAGGAGGATGATAGGAAAAAAAAGGTAGAAAGATATTTGATTTCTCATTAGGGTATATTTAGTTTCTCTTTACTTCTTATCAATTAACCTTTATTGCATTAAATGCAATATGCTCTGTTCCATTCCTTCCCAACCAAAACCACGATTGCGTAAACAACGTAGTACTTTAATCTAATATATTTTTACATAAATCCTATAAAGTATACACTTTGTTCGTGACAAAGTTGCTTCAGCTCACATTTACGTTCTTCACATCCCCTTTAATTCTCAATATGATGATATCTTCACTGAAGATCTGTGTATATCATTGTTTAAAGACATACGTATATCATTGTTTAATGACTTTTGGTTTAGTTTAAGGGGCTGCTTGTTTTTACGAAAAATCAATTATGTCCACTTTTGGCTACGTTATGCAGCATACGCGCAATACTTGGTCTTTCGCAACTATTTGTTTTTCAGAAGACTTCTGGCTTAAAAACTATTGCACATGTGATGTGTGGCACAACATTGAACACTCCTTTTCACACCACTTCTCACCTTATTATAAGTTATATTGTTCAACATAGATTTGTTTTAATTTTTTTCAATATGCTTATTATTTTAATAATATTATGCATGATATTATAAACAATTCGAGTATATTTTACATAATTTCAAAACCGTTTGGTAAATTTTATATTAATATTTTTTTTGTGTTACATTGTCTATAACCAAATATTAATAAATTATAAAGTTAATCACTAAAATTACTAAGTTTATTGAAGCTAACAGGAAAAATAACGATCATATTCGAAAATTTAACAAAAGGAACATATTGTTTGCTAAATTAACAAATTTTATTTATTGTTATTTAGCAAATATTATGTTTAATTATTTTATATAAACGTTTTTAAAAATCATATCGTCATAATGATCTTTATATTTGATTTGCATATGATTAAACTAAATAAATTTTTTATTTAGAATTATTTTTAACTATTGTATAATTAATTTCAGTTTATTGCAACTGTCTGCAGACGTTAAAAAAACAGACTTCTTATTATAGACTACAGTCGTTTGGTCTATCTCTTATGTTGCAGATGGTTGCAGATGTGGTCCGCAAACTTCATACGTTTTCACTTTGAAAAAACAAACAACATCTAAATGTTTGGACAAATCATCCCGATAAAATTGTGGTGAACATTAGTCTACATGTATATTTCAATATTCTGATGGATGTAACGGACATTAATGACTTGGTCGCATACCATGTTAGGTTAGCCTCAATATATATTTAGTGATGGATGTGCATAGACCCCACTTAAAAGTGGGGCATTTGAGAAAAAAAAAAAATTTGGTGTAGTATTTTTGGCAACCACTTTTATTGAAAACCAACTAAAAAACCTTGAAATTCAGATTTTTTTTATCATTTTTATGACCTTGTTACTTTTGGTTTTGAATCTGCAACTACATATATTGAGTTCCTATATATTTTGGTTATCAACTAGAGATAACTCTCACGAAAAAATAACATTTAACACATCGAACCTAGATTTCATTAAACTATGAAATCGCCACAATATCATACCCTCGTATGGAAACGTGAAAACACGATTAAGAAAATCACAAAAATATGCATAAGAAAATAGCAAACTACATAAAACACAACCATCAAAAAAGTAAATGTTGTCATTGATTTTAGTCCGTCTGCAACCTTCATTTGTTTCTTCGTCTAAACCAGATTTGGAAAGGAGGAATGGAGAAATATAATTTCAATAATGCCATTTGAGTATATAGGTTTGTAGGTAGGACAAAGGACTTGTTATTCATAGAATCTGTATATATCTTCATGTTATACCCTTTACAAGCTTGGTTCGCAGGACAATCTTAAGGGATTAAGACTTATGGTGATGATAACTCATTTATCAATCTTTTTCTAGCACATTACATGGGGTACATGGTTGTTCCAAGACCCCGAAGCTGATGTGAAAATTTTGTGGAAAATGCATGATCATCCATACAAGGAAGATGGTGAATCAAAAGAACATGAGAGGGTTTAGGGAGAGCCATGTTTCCAATCATCATATGAAGTTTGGGACGAGCATATTTGAATTTAGTAATATGTTAGTGTATCTTACATTTATGCTACACGTTCCTATAATTGTCTATATAAGTTGTAGTCTTCCTATAATTGTCTACATATATCTTAATGGTATCAGAGTCAGCATCCACATCCCCGTGGCTTATGCATTCATGTATGTTTTCATGAAGCCTCTGGGTGGAGTGTAAGTGTGTATCCCACATTGATGTGACACGACCCTATAATTGTCTATATATATTGGAGTCTGACTCTCCCCTCTCCATAAATGCTCTTTTAGAGAGACAATATTGGACCCAACGTAAATATGTTACATAAACAAATCTAAAAATAACATTTTTTATCAAGTTAAACAAAGTATTAGTTATTACTTGTATATAACGTAAAATTTTGAATTTAAAAAAAAAGTAGAAGTTAAGCAAAAAAAAAAAGTCCACCATCACATCATTTTCGCGTTGTGTGTTTTGCCCTTGTTTATGTAACTGAACCATCTCTTGGGTAAATATGATTCTAGGGATGTGAATTTGTGTTTCTTGGGTAATACTAATGTATAAAAGGAGTACAATTCAGTCTTGAAAGAAAAAATATGTTTTATTTATTTTTTATTTTTTTGCAAAGAACATAAAGTTTTTTGAACAAAATGATCCTTTTTTTTTTTTGCAATATGTCTTAAAGGACATCCCTGAATTATTGACATTAATAATTTGAAATTTTTTTAATTTTCAGGCAGTTTTATGATCATACTAATAGTGTTCATCCCTATGATGATTTTAGTGGAAAAATATGTACTTGTGGGCTTATGTGGAGGGGCAAATGCATTTTATCTGGGAGATATGTTATTACAAGGTTTTGTATTTTTATTTTTTTTGGGAGATCATTGATCTCGTGATAAACTGAAAAAGCAACTCATGTCAGGTCCAGAATCCAGATAGAGCCTTTACCGTGCAATGGACGAAGTGACTTGCAAAATTCCTGTAGGTTTTGAAAAAATTGAATGATCAAAATGTGACTAGTGTAATTCATGTTGAGTTATGTTGTGATAATAGGGTTGTAATATAGATTGCAGCTGACCCTGTATTTCATGAATAATGTATCAAGCACAAGGTTTCTGATGACTTAATTAGGACTTCAATTTGAATGATGGTTCCATTGAATGAATGCATGCCTGATATTGGGAAACATCGGTATCTGTGCAAGAAATAAAGATTTTTTAAGGGGAAAAGTTAAAAGGGACGGAGCTATGTTATATCCAATCTTGGCATGGAATTTTGGAAATCATCTAAAATAGCAATGTAGTTACCATTGTTTGTTTTCTGGTGCAGTTTTTGATATCTAAAATGTAAGTGGTCGATTAATAAAGGTTACCACTAGGAGCTATAATTTTATATATGAAATTGACATTCTTTTCCTCCGTTAGGGTTCCAACTGAAACCTTGCAATCTGTCAAATTTCTCTTTCCAATATTCCATTGAATACAGATTAGATCTTACTGCATTTTTCCCCAAAATAAAATCCATCAATATTACCAGATTACACTAACACATACTTTGTTAAAACTACTCATATATAGCACGACTTGAAAAGTAAAGCAGTTAACCCAAAAATGACCACCAAATGTTATGTGTATTACTCCAATGTAATAGTGTGTTTGTGTGATTCACATCACATCACATCATGTATCAGAATGAAAGCAAGGAATTCAAGTTCTGATCAGGAGTTATTATTTGTAAATGGAAAAACAGTTAAAACCAAACAAACTATGTATCTAAGCCTCCCATCCTCTTAAGATAGTAGCACGTGCAACCCTCTCCACTCCCAATGCGAATGCTCCCATCCTAAGGCTGCAATTGTGTGTGTGACACATGTCCTTGATGTCACGGAAAGCTTGCCTCATGTATTGTATCAAGTATTTATTCACCACCTTTTCCTCCCACATAAACCCCTGAATATTCTGTAAATTTCATACAATTCATTCACCTTTTCATACCAACTAACTACATATAAAACTGTTTTTTCTTCTAATTTAATTTAATACATACAATACCTGAACCCACTCAAAGTAGCTAACAGTCACACCTCCAGCATTTGCATAGATATCTGGAAGTATTACAACTCCTTTCTTATACAGAACCTGTGTTGTGTATGTACCAATCAAATATATCTTATCAAATAAAGACCAAAAATATTAAAAAATTCTCAAATAAAGACCAAAGTTGTAAAAGACAAGTTTTTGGGACCAAAATGTTACCTCGTCTGCTTCAGGATCAGTAGGATGATTTGCAGCTTCTATGATGAACTTGGCTTTAACATCGTCAGCATTTTCACTTCAATGGACAATTTGAAATTTTAGAATAATGAAAAATCTGTATTTAAATGGTAGAATTATTGATTGGTAGAAAATAACCTGGTGATAACACCACCTAAGGCACATGGAATCAGAACATCACATTGCTGAAATAGCAATTCATCAGGATCCATGGTTTCTCCTCCATTGAAATCGCTTAAGTCCCCCCCTGTCTCTCTATGTTTGAACAATTCCACTATATCGATACCATTTGGGTTCTTTATAGCTCCAGTGATGTCACTCAATGCAACAATCTTACCACCTTTTTCATGAATCATCCTTGCAGCCCAAGACCCCACATTCCCAAAACCCTGTAAAACTCAACCACATGATACACACAACAAAATCTTGAGGACATGAATCCTGCTACAAGTTACATGCAACAATCATACCTGAATAACAAAAGTTGAATCTTTGATCGACTTCCCATGTTCGTTAAGTAACGCTTCCGTGGAAATAACTACACCATACCCAGTTGCAGACTCTCTTCCAAGGGACCCACCAAGTTCCTAGTCATTAAACAAAGAAAGGCTATGAATATTCTAATTATAATTTAATATTATAAATTTATAAATTATAATTACTCTCACCAGTGGCTTTCCGGTGACACAAGCCGGTGAATAACCATGGAATTTCGAATACTCATCCAGAATCCAAGCCATAGTCTGTCATTAATTATCCGAGACATGACTTAATTAGTAAGACAGCTGGCAAATCGTATTAATTCTAATTGTGTGCAAACCTGAGAATTGGTGCCCATATCTGGCGCGGGAACATCGATGTTTGTTCCGATGAGATCTTGAAGTTTTTGTGTGAAGACACGTGTCATCCGTTCAAGCTCAGACTTGGTTAAGGTCTTAGGTGTGCATCCGATCCCACCCTTTGCTCCACCGTAAGGAAGGTCCATCACAGCAGTTTTCCAGGTCATTAGTTGAGCCAAGGCGTTGACCTCGTCAAGGTTAACCTTGAGAAAATTAACATATACCAACCATATCAAGCAGTTTCAATTTCAAACGCATCTTCAATGACGCCAATAAATAGAAACACAAAAAATATAGATCTAACTGGAAAATAATTAACCGGATGCATATGACGGTATGACCAAGGCGTTGAAAGTATTCTGAACTAGGAATTATACTTAAAATACCTTTTTCAGAATGTAGAGCTGAAATCCAAAGTAACACAGTCGGTGAGAAGTATGATGAATCGTGATAATGAATCGATTGAGCAACCAAATCAAGAACAGATAACATCAAATCAAGAAAGATGAGATAGATTCAGTCGGTTGCGTTAATTTTGATCAGATCGCGATTTAGTTTGGTTATATTGTTAGGTTTTGTTGATCATAAACATGTTTTGCATGGCATAGGTTATGATCCAAACAGTAAAATTGCATATAACAGACAGAATTTATCACAAAAACTAATCAATTAACAACAGTAAAATTAAATATATATTGCAGACATGATCGGAGAAGTAGAAATGCATTTGATAAACAACAATCAACACAGGACGATTGCATATCAATCAACACAGTAAAATCCTCACAAATTCAATGAATCAACAGTAGTAAAATGAAGTTGATATTGCAAACATAATCGGAGCATGCAGTAGAAATGCGTTTGACAAACAATCAACACAGCAAAACTGTAGTTCGATCAACAGAGTAGAATTCTCAAAAAAAAACTCAATGAACACAGCAAAATGCATATCAATTGCAGAGATGAAACAAGAAGTAAAATCCTGAAAACTAAATCTAAGTTATCACTAAACACAACCATATGACACAGAAACAAAGATCAAAAGATGAATCAAATCACCTTAGGATGATATCTGATTCCTCCTTTCATCGGACCACGAGAATTATCATGTTGAACTCTAAATCCAACATAAGAAACCAATGATCCATCATCCATCGGGATTGTGCACTCCACCTGATCGAAAAACAAAAATATCACATCAATACTCGATAGCATTCTAAATCAGAACAATCAACTATTTACAAATCATTTCTACGCACCTTGATTTCTCTAAAAGGTATCAAGAGACTCATCTCGAGCTTTTGATCTACGTTAATAAGACGACAAGCATGACGGAAGTTCCTAGTCGTTGCAGCGAGAGCATTCATGGTGATTGTTTGTGAGAAACAGAGAGAATCCCACAGGTCCGAAACGAAATGGATTGAAGTAAATGAGTAATGCGGTTTTCGAAGAGGATTTTCACAAGAACATTAAGAACAAATGGAGAAGTTTCTGCAATGTTTGAAGGGTAACTCATATTTATATGTGTATATCTGAATTTGCGTGGTTTAAAGTCTAAACCCTTTCCCTTATTACTCAAAGGGGTTTCCATTTTTGTTTTCTTTATTTCTTTTAGAATTATTTTTAATCAGAGAGTGACATGGTATGAGTATGTTCATAAGTTAGTTGGAAAATCACGCGACTGGGGTTAATTATTTTTTTGACCAATTTTTGTCTGAATTACATATTAAATTAAAATATTAATCATGTAACAATATATAAAGTACATTTAGATACATATAAAACAAACAATTGATCTTGAACACGTGACAAAAATAGCAGTCCTTCCACGTGGCATGTCATTTATCGAGCATTGACTCAATTTGGTGTAACAGAAAGCAATGACGTAAGAAGTTTGTTAGCACGTTTTGCGTCGCGTCATCTCCGTTTCCAACTGTTTTCAAAATCGTTTTAACAAATGGATTTGGATGATGATTTTCCCTTTCTTAAAAATTAGAGTCGGATAATTTGAAAGTCCACTCCACATTATATATACTTTGATTTCTTGTGAGTATTTTATATTTTATAATTACAATTAATTTGATATTTTGACGAGGTTTTTTTTTCTTCATATGCATTTAAGTATAAATGAATAAAGCTGTTCAAATTTGTTGGTTAGTAATCACAAATATGTGTACGAAAAATCATTTAAATCTAAAGTGTTACTTTGTCACAATAGTTATATTCACCATTAATCATTATAACAGCGGTCAGCGGATGTCACCTTATCACAACATTCACAGAGGCGAGTCTATCTGTATCTAAAGGGTGTCCTGGGACACCCCTTAGTTCTAAATTTTATTTACTAGATATAGCATAATTTTTCTAGGACACCTGTTGGCAAAACAAATTGGACACCCTTGATAGTAACAAAGAAAAAAAATAAACGATATTTGCCAATCATAATCTATTTTCAATCTTTACAACTTTTAAAAAACTTAAGAGCAAAAAAATAGGGGTTGATTAAGCAACAAAATATTTTACGAAAATATAATAACAGATATTCTTTCAAACCCAAGACTAATCTAATTTAAATGTAGAAAAATATAGAAATGGAAAAACAAAAAACCTAAAAAAAATTACGATTTTGTGGATTAGCCGCTGTCAAAGTTCCTTCGTCTTTCTCAACTTTGGATTGCCACCGACTGCCGACTTCTTTAGTGTTGCCGATAATCACGTTTTGGTCACCTCTGTTCTTTAGTGGCCGCAAACTGTCTTGAACAGTTCTTGGTGTCAAAGGTTTGGACTTCTAATTGTCTTTAACATCATTATCTCCGGTTGCATCCATACAATCTTCGTCGCCGGCCCGTTATTGAACCAGACGGAATTGAAGAACCTGCGGCCGTCGACTTCTTCTCAGCATTCCATTTACTTTTGGGTAAACCATTTAGTCTTTTATATCTCGTTTTATTTAGAATTGTTATATGGTGTAGAAACTAGAAACAATAAAGTGGGCATAGGTCACTGTATATATGAGAAGTCATTGTCTATGCCTCTATGGAAAAGTTATAGTCTGTTCACCTGCTCTTGCTTTTGTTATTGTGTATGTCAGGCAAATTGTCTTTATTTGTTTAATAAAGAATTAGACCAATAGGCTAGGCATATCAAATTACTTTTACATATTTCATTTATATAGTTTGTTTTATTTATATAACTTTTACATATTTCATTTGTAGCGGTTGTTTTGATTATTTATTTATATGAGTAAATATTTATTTTATCATTTTAGGCATAATGTTGATGTATTATAAAAAAAAGATGAAAAAAAATCATTTATATAAGATATATTTATATAGCTTATTTCATTTATATAACATGTTCTGTAATATATTTTTATTAGATCTATATATTTATTTGTAGCAGTTGTAATTATTATTTATTTAGATGAATAATTATTTATTTTATCATTTTAGGCATAATTTTGAGGTATTATAAAAAAAAGGGTGAAACAAGCTCTTTATCTCATGATCATGGCAATTCACAACAAAACGATGAACAACAAACACCTTCTTCAAAATATATGAAAGTTGATTTAAACACACTTCCTGCGGATCCCGGAGAAAGGCCAAGCATGGAAATTTATCATGTAAATCAACGAGATGAGATTAGAAGATCCTACTTACAAAAAGGGCCTTATCAACCGCGAACTCATTCTTTCCAACAAAGAGAGATTGGAGGAAAACTTCGTAGATTTGTTCCCTCTTGGTTTGATGATCACAAATACTGGCTAGAGTACAGTATTAAACTTGAAGCTGCATTTTGTTTATGTTGTTATCTATTTAAATCTGAGATTAAAAACCAAGGTGGTTCAGATCATTTTGTAAAAAATGGATTTAATACTTGGAACAAGAGAACGAGTCTAAATCATCACGAAGATGGAAGTCCACATAATATGGCAATCCAAAAGTGTCAAAATCTGATGAACCAAAGACAATCCATAGCTACTGCTTTTGATAAGCAAACTGATTTGATGAAGACCAACCAACGCATCAGATTAAATGCTTCTATAGATTGTATTAGATTCTTACTGCGACAAGGGTTAGCTTTTCGGGGTCATGATGAAAGTGAAGACTCGACTAATAGAGGCAACTTTCTTGAACTTCTTCAGTTCTATGCTGATCGAAATGATAAAGTGGGTGGTGTTGTTTTAAAGAATGCTCCTAAAAATTCACAAATGACATGTAGTTCAATTCAAAGGGATATTGTACATGCTGCAGCAAAAGAAACTATTAAGACTATTGTGAAAGGTATTGGGGATGAATTCTTTGCCATATTAGTAGACGAATCACGTGACGTGTCTTGTAAAGAGCAAATGGCATTGGTTTTGCGGTTTGTGAATAGCCAAGGGGTTATTGTGGAGAGCTTTATTGGCATAAAGCATGTCAGTGACACTTCAGCTTTGTCATTGAAGGCAACTATTTATTCATTTCTGACAGAATGTGGATTAAGTCCACATAGGATCCGAGGACAATGTTATGATGGAGCTAGTAATATGAGTGGTGCATTTAATGGATTGAAGACACTTATTATGAAAGAAGTGAAATCTGCACATTTTATTCATTGTTTTGCTCACCAATTACAATTAGCACTTGTATTTGTTGCAAAGAATCACCCTGACATCAATGACTATTTTGATTTGACTTCTCGTTTGTTAAACATGATTGGTTCTTCTTATAAACGTCGAGACAAATTAAGAGAGAAACAAGCAACAAAAGTGGTGGAAGCATTGGCCACAGGTTTCTTTTATTTTATTTTCTTATTATTTTATGGTGATTTATATATATTTTTTGCTAATTTATTTTTTATGTTAATTTTAGGTGACATTCAAAGTGGTACATGTTTGAATCAAGAAGTTGGTATCAAACGACCATGTGATGGGGTTCTCATTTTGGTTCACTCTTAAATATCAAGAGAACATATTCTTCAATTTGTGAAGTACTTGAAGACATTAAAGTGGATAGTTATTGTCAAGATCATAGAGCATAAGCACATCGTCTCTTGAAGTCATTACAAACGTTTGATTTTATTTTTTGCTTACACTTGATGGTTGATATCTTAGGGGTCACAAATGATTTGAACATCACGTTGCAAAAAAAAGATCAAGATATTGTAAATGCAATGCATCAAGTGAGATCCTCTAAGACCAGACTTAAACAAATGCGAGATGAAGGATGGGAACCACTCTTAAATGATGTTACTTTGTTTTGCGAAAAATGTGATATTGAAATTTTGAATATGGAAGATCCATATTACAATAGAGCAAGTCGTCGCAAAGGTTCACAGGTTAGCAACTATAAAGTTGATCTATTTCTTCAAGTTTCTAAATTAATCATTAACCCGTTGTTCTATTTAATTCGCAGATTAACCACTTACATCACTATAAAATTGATGTATTTATTGCGGTCATAGATATGCAATCTCAAGAGCTCAACAATCGATTTAATGAAGTAAACACACCATTACTTGTTTCTATGGCTTCTTTTTGTCCAAGTAAGTCTTTTCAAGCATTTAATGTGGAAGAACTACTTCAGATGGCAACCTTTTATCCAAACGAGTTCCCAGAACATGACATTGGAACACTTAGAGCAAGTTTATATTGTGGATGTACGTGGAGATGCAAGGTTTAATAACTTGAAAGGAATTGGAAACTTGGCAAAAATGATGATTGAAACGAACAAAAACATACGATATATCCAATGGTGTATCTTCTACTAAAATTAGCATTGATATTGCCCGTTGCAACATCCACAGTGGAACGTGCTTTTTCTGCAATGAAGTTGATAAAGAACGATTTGCGTAATAAAATGGGTGATCAATTTATGAATGATTGTCTAGTTTCATATATTGAGAAAGATGTGTTAGATGGTATTAGCAACGACATACTTATAGATTTTTTTAGGGATATGAAAACTCGTCGTGAACAATTGTAAGAAATTTATGATTTTTTTTTAATTAGTTTGATCTTTGGTATTCAAGTTAATAAATATTTTCCTAAGATGGTATTACCGACAAACCGACCCGATAACCAATTTTTTTGACCCATTTATTTTATCATTTCATTTATGGGACACACGTTAGTTTGAATCCTAGATTCGCCACTGCACATTCAACCATTAAACTTATGAGATACCTATCACTAACACACCACTACACATCATTTTTTTTAAAATAAATTTAATTCAAAAATACAATAAAGCATAGATTATTTTTTTAAACTAGATCATGTACAATGTGGAAAACAATTAACAATTAAGAGGGTACATGCATCCTATAAAAGATCTATGTCACAACACTTTGAAGGCAACATACTATGAACAACAAACTAACATAAACCCTAATGAAATCGAAATCATTGGATTAGGGTTACATACATTTGATTTGTTGTAGTAAACAAATCACTTTCAATCTCCTTGTAGTGTAGGTCTTGGAAAGCTTAGCACCAAAAGGATGATGCATATAATGG